GTTCTACGTCAGCCTGAACACCTAATTTCGGCCAATCATATATCAACTGTCATCTGTCAATCAAATGTTTTCGGTCATAGCATCTTGATTCATGTGTCGCAGCTAATATACGCAACGGTTGAAATCAGAATCCTTTCCTTTCCCATTGAGTTGCGTCCCAGTGTTCACGGGGATGGACGTCTGTGTCTTCGGCAGGCGTAGAGCTAACAGAACTGGCAGCGTTGCGAGGCAAGGGCTCAAACATGTACGGCTGGAAGCCTTCTACACCAAACCAAGCTTCTGCCGCCCTGGCGTCCTCTTCCACAACATCTTCGTCCCCGCTTTCCTCCTCTAAATAAAAAATGGATGACGGAGGAGACTCATCCACGACCTCCGACACTAAACTCTCCTCCTCTTGCATGTTTCCGCTGTCCATAGCGTGACAGCGTCGTTTCTAAGTCACCAATTTAGTGCTACTTGGTCCCAATGGAATTTCCCATTGGGAACCTGCTAGCACTAAGTTGCTAACTGGTTAGCAAGATGCTTCCGACAAACCGGCCACAACCAAACTTGCTTGTGAACATTCCACTACAACAATCCCGCCCCCTTGATAATCGACCAATCACATTCACTTTATTCACTTGTGTAAAGTCGTGCACCACTCGGGAGAATTCGGAAACGCGACGGTTGGAACAGCCGCTTCCCTACGACTTTAAGGAGCAAGTAAAACATTACAATTCTGTCAGTGGAGGCAGATTTGGGTAAACACTGTAAAACTTAAATTATCTGATCTAATTTTTAGAAATCTAACTCGATAAAATTTTCTTTAACAATCCAATCTCCCATGTCAGCCATACTTCATAATTATCTTATGCTACATTTTTCATCGTTTCTGGGGTGTTTTTTTGTTTCATCTTTCACACTCTTTACCTCTTGCTTTATAATCTTTCTCGGGGAAGTGAGGTTGTATTTTGGTTTAGACTGATATAGTAATAATAATGGCCTATTTGTCCACCTTAATTCAAATGTTGTGATTAATCTTGTGATGTAGAGGCCTAAGTTTATGTAAATGATACTTTCTTGAGAATCAATAAACATAAAATGTAAAAAAAACAATCCACTGGACTTTGTTGGATTGTTTTTTTTTTTTACTTTTTAGAATAAATATGACCTGGATGACTTAGAGTGTTCACCAGCTAATTTAAAATGGGAAAATCTTCTTTTTCTTAAAGCCGGATCCTGAACTCTGACCTTCAGCGATGCAGGGAGAGCCTGCAGAGCTTTAGATGCTGTTCTGACCTTCTGGATGAGCGCTGCTGGAAAGCTTCACCACGTTTCCACACCAGGATGACGGTTCCACAGTCATACAGCTTTCCAACCCTTTCCAGGAAGGCTGGGTCTGAGACCTCCAACAACTCAGGTCAAAACTGTCGGAATTTAAACCTGATTGATGATCTAAAACATTTATGTTGGACAAAAAAAAACTGACTGAATCTGGACCGTCATGCAGAGCATCAGACCCACAGGAATCATATTCTGATGATGGGAGGAATCCTCTGAGCTGAAAGCATGTCTCCTTGGGAGCAGACTGCTATCAGAGGAGAATCTCTGGGCTGCATTTCAGGAGTTCCTCACATGGTTGAGCTAACAGGTTAGCACAGCTGATTAGCTCTGAACCGACATTTTGATCATTTTAATGACTAACATTGGAGGGCAACATATTTATTCATTTTAAGTATAATAAAATCACTAAACTGTACTTAACACGACTCCGCCACATCGTGTGGACATCAGGGACAGTTCCCTTGGATTGGCAGACTGGGGGGGGGGGTCCCCCAATTTAAAAAGGGGGACCAGAGGAGTTGTTCCAAATACAGAGGAATCACTCTGCTAAGCATTCTGGGTAAAGTCTATTCCATGATCCTGGAAAGGAGGGATCATTGCATAGTAGAATCTCTGGTTCAGGAGGAGCAGTGTGGTTTTCGTCCTGGCTGTGGAACACTGGATCAGCTCTACACCCTCAGCAGGATCCTGGAGGGTGCATGGGAGTTTGCCCAACCAGTCTACATGTGTCCCACGGCAGGGCCCTGCAGGAGGTACTAGGGACTAGAACCACTTTTGGGAAACATCCCAACCTGGCAACAATCCCCGTAACACGGGAAACATTAGCCTTTAGATGCAAAACCCCATCATGCACCGCAACATATTTTTGCAAAATATTCGAACATAAATTCACCAAATATAAGAGGAACATCGTAGTTCGGTTTAAAGAAAGCATTTTAGTTTTATTATAATTTAGTTTTCTGCAAGGATTTTACAGTTTTAAGAAATAGAAAATGACACCATATGCTAACCGACACAAGGACGAGTATGAAGGAAGGGCTAAATATACTGCATGCATCATTGAGCTCCTTAAGTGACTTACAGGTAGGAGCTTCGGCCGGAGAGTAAAGAGCAGATTAGACTTCTTCAACCGCACACATCAAATGTCGCATGGGTCTGTTCGCGAACCAGTTTTGCTGCTATGCTTCTGCACCGTCGGTCTGGAATTTCTAGGGACGCAGAGCAGTTTCCCGCCAAACTGCGGGGGGGGGGGGGGGGGGGGGGGGGGGGGGGGGGCATTCGAGAACTGGCAAGAACTTCGGCGGATGGACACGAGAACTTCAACGGCTTCGGCAGGAGTTTCTATTTTCCAAAACAACAATGGCGTGTCTGCAAGATAACAAGGTCACAGAGATAGATCTAGAGTTGCTAGATATCAAAGAGGAACAGGTTCTGTTAATGGAGTGAACCTCCTCAATTAACCTTTCAACATAGGTGTCCATTGTAGTTGTTCCTCAGTTTTTAAAAATGGCGCGCCCCGGGCCCGAATCGAGAAGGACGACCACACAGATAGCCGGAAAGGTGTACCAAGGACCAATCACAGCTGATTTTTGTCTGAGGGCTGCGCGAGTTTGCAACGGTCCGACGCGTAGTCAGGATTTTTTTGATGTACGCGATGATGGTTGCAGAACCTCTGCAACCGCGGGGGGGTGTGGTGGGGGGCGTGGTGGTGCACAGAGACAGATTTGATGCAGAGGCTATGCGTCAGAAGCATAAATTGGCCTGAAGTTTTGGGGCCGGTAAGATTTTAGGAGGGCCGGCTCTTGCACTCTAAATGAGGACCGGCCCACCGGGTAAATGGCCGCTATCACAGATTACCAGTCTGAGCCTTCTAGGCAGTATGGAGTACCGGCCCTTTAATAAGGGCTGTTAGGTCTCTGTTTGACCGGTGTCAGAACCTGGTCTTTATTGCTGGCAGTAAAGGCCTGGTTATCCTCCTGCAGCAGTGTGTCACAGTGAGCTAGTCGCAGATATTTCTGATTTATGCTCAATATTGAACGCTACAACGCCAGAGGGACAATCAGGAACTAGCTTTTGGGTCTAGATACGGTCGAGGCGATGAGGAAGTGGGGGATAGTTTGTGCAACAACGGACAACGGTGAGATGTTCCAGGCACGTCCCACCGGGAGGAGGCCCAGGGGAGACCCAGGACACGCTGGAGGGACTATGTTCCTCAGCTGGCCTGGGAACGCCTTGGGATTCCCCCGGACCAGGTAGCAGTGGAGAGGGAGGGAGGGAGCAAGGGAGGCAGGGAAGTGGTTGAGTCTCTATAAACCTGCAGTTTTCACCCATAAAGTCTCAGTAAATAATCCAAAGCAAAACAAAACAAAACTGTTTGGTTTTTATCATGTTTTTAAATTATTCTGTTAATAGTTAAATATAAAAGAACAGCTGAAACTAAACACACCCCCGTTAGTGAGAAACTAAACACACCCGTCAGTGAGAAACTAAAAACCCCCCATGTCAGCCACGCTTAAGCAGCACTTTGATCGTCTTCAGGAAGACCTTAATAGTGTCCAAAATCATTTTGGTAAAATCTGTCCCACATCCTCCAAAAGCTGCTTCAGCTCATTATGGTATAAAAATATTAGTTTGAAGCCTGACTTTGACTAGACCAGTGGAGATTTGATGCCTTGTGTTCGTTTGTCGTCCTGTTTGTGACTCTTAGCTGAAGATCACCCCCGCCCACCCCCACCTGAAGACGGAAGGAATTGTTTGATTAATCATCTCTGTCAATCAAACAAGAGAAAGAGCCGTTTCCTCCGTGCACGGCTTTAATTAGCCTTTCTGCTCTGCATTCAGTAAATAAAGACATTGTGTTTTAAAGTGAATTTAGCTTAAGGCTAACTCGTTAGCTGCACCTGGAAGTTATCACTTTATATTGTGTTAGAATTCAATTTAGTTGATTTCTATTCACAACACGTCATCTCAACACACCTTACTGTTCATCAGATCATCCAGTCTATTGCATCATACAGGCCATCGACTCATTGACTCTTCAGCAATCCCTCACACTAAGCATGCTTGTAGCGACAGTGGAGAGAAAAACTCCCTTTGAACAGGAAGAAACCTCCAGCAGAACCAGGCTCAGTGTGCGCGGCCATCTGCTGAGACCCACTGGGGTTCAAGGAGACAGAAGCAGACATAGAAAAAGAAGCATAGATACAAAAGGCGTGCTATGCGCGGTTCTTGCTCAGTTTAATGATTTTATCTAGTTTTACCAAATTAATGTGTTAATAATTCATTTATTAACAGAAAAGTCTCCATTTAAAGTGATGAAGCGTCTCCAGCTTTTGATTCAGATCACTGACTGTTTAATTATTGCAGAAAATCCTCTGAAACATTAATTTGCTCTAAATCTTTGCAGAAACTCTCCACCAGATAAAGTTGGATGTTTGCAGAGGCGCGTGACTTCCGGTACCTGCTCTGATGCGGAAGGAAACAGGCAGGAAGTCTCTGAGGACATGTCTGTCCCCATAAAAGGGGACATTTCTCATCCCTCTGAGGGTTGGTTTTCTAGAAGGTGAGGCTGAGCGCGTGCCGCGGGCAGAGCCGCTGGTTTAAAGATGGAGGCTGAAAGCAGGCGCTGGTTGATGAGCATCAGTGATGCTGAGCTAACAGCGGCTAGCGGCTCCTACCTGCTCGGCCAGTTTGAGGACAGCCATGTCTGGGTCCGCTCCGTCTGCGCATCCACTCAGCCCCGCAGCACCACGCACGGAGCGATGCTGCTGCGCCTCGGTCCTTCCTGCGGGACTACGGGAGCCGGAGAGGCCAAGCTTTTAGTCGGTGATCGTCTAACGGCTGACAGTGAGGATGCAGGCCGGCGGGAGCTCCACGGCCATCAGCCCCGCTCCGCGGAGGAGATCTGCGGCTCGGCAGAGGCAGAGGAAACGGGCTGACCCTCCGGTGTAAATAATCCGCATCTATGGCTGCCGCTTCCGGCGCTCCGGCTAAAAGTCCCCCCCCGCCGCTAAGCCTTCCTCCTCCCCGGTGTGCAGAACCAGAAGCTCCGGGAGAGGAAGCCAGGCTGCAGTCAGCTGAAGCAGATCGACAGGAAGTCCTGCTGCTGCTCCGCTCCGCGCTCAGATGCGGAGAGGAGGCGAAGCTGGAGAAGAAGCATCATCCGAGCTGCAGCATCTGCTCGACGGCACCACCCAGCGGACGAACTGGGAACTGCAACCTCCAACCACAAATCACCAATAAAATTCATCTTTTCTTTTTAAACTATAAAACCAAACATTTAAGCACACAAAGCGATTCTGATATCATAAAGTGTTTTATTTTCTGGTTGATTGATTTCTAAACCTTGAGGACAACAGATCAGAGTCACAGGTGTAGCCAGAACATTTTAATCAGGCAATAACCAATGAACTCTGAGGGAAAGCAGGTAGATGCAAGAACTTTAGGAAAATGAACAACCACAATATCCATTGTTTCTAAATAGACAAACTATACTTTCCTACAACCTTTTCTAACAAATAGACACACATATTTAAACATCCATGCTGTTTTAAATTAAAGGTGTAGTGGACAAAAATCTTTCAGGCTTGAGTTCTGGGGAGAACATCTTATTCACTGCCATTACTTACCGACTTTCATCAATAATTGTTCTGCATAAAAGTAATATTTACATCTACTAATATCCACATTAAATGGAGTATTATTATTATTAAAGTAGTTATTTAACTCTGATTTCCCTGATTGATGACTTGCAGACATAATTTACTCTTTACCCCAGAAGATAAAATCTACTTCTGAAAAGAGCAGGAATTATGTATTTATCATCTTTAATGTTAGTATATTGGTCTGCATAATTAACCACAGTATTGATAGATTAGATAGTATTTATCAAATTAGCAAGGAAATCCAAAAGACACGCAACAGAAGACAGCGATGGGAAAATTAAACGCAAAAACATCACAATCCCTTATGTTGCTGGAGTGTCTGAAAAGCTCAAGAGGATTTTCTCCAAACACAAGATCCCAGTACATTTCAAGCCAAACCAAACCTTTAAACAGAGGCTAGTGCATCCTAAAGATAAAACCCCCAGACCGAATATGAGCGGAGTGGTATATGCTGTTCAGTGCAGCGAGGAATGCTCTGATCTTTATATTGGCGAAACCAAACAACCTCTCCACAGACGCATGGCCCAACACAGAAGAGCGGCCGCCTCTGGACAAGACTCCGCAGTACACCTACACCTGCTGGACAAAGGACATTCGTTGGAGGACCAGAATGTCCACATTCTGGATAAAGAAGACAGGTGGTCTGAGAGGGGTGTGAAGGAAGCCATCTATGTTAACACTAGAAGTCCCAGAGATTTTCAGTTTTCCTGCAAGCCCCCCTCCCCTCTGCAAGTTTGTGTATTCACTCTGCCTTGCTAACTGTCCCTATTGTAATGCAAATAACCTGTGATATGACCAGCCCTTCTACATTAAGACTGGATAAAGGCTGAAACAAACTGGCATCAAGACCATGTTCCAAGCACTTTTCAGTACCTGGCCCTGCAACATCATACCTTTTTGCAGGAATATATTTATATGTCATAAATCTAAATCTTTTATTCAGGCAAACCTATTGAACAACCAGATATCATAGTGGTCCTAGTTCCTGAGCTGAGAACAAGTCATAACCATGCTTTTCCAACAAGGCAAGGCAGAGCCTATTTCTATTGTCCATTCACCAACAGACTCATTTATATTGCAAAGCTCACTATATGAAAGAAAGAATAATTGTATTTTGTCTTGTCTTGCCTTTTTATGTCATTCAAAATTTAATCTTAGAGAATGACAAACAGTATGCCTTTAGTATTGGAGTAACATTTATGTCACAAAAGGAACAGCCCTAGTCTCTTCATCTCACAATGCTGTCTCATGTGTTCTTCCTTTATTGCCTTTTCTTGCATACAAATGTTACGAAGTTCATTTGCAAGTAGCAGAATTAACTTTGGTGGACTCTCTTTGGTCCCTGTGCACGGCTTGTACAACACATGCTCGTCTGTTGCAGCCAAGCTTGTACGCCAAGCCAAGCTTGAAATCTCAATAACTCTGAGTCGATCTGCTGGGCCTATTTATTCTGGGAGCTAGACTTCCCACCCACAACCTTTACATTTCCCCCTGCCGCCAGATTGGAATTTGAGCTGGAAACGGGTTTCCAGCACAAAACCGGCTTTCCGCTGGAAATCGTGAGCGGATGATGTTTGCTTGTTTGCCCTCTAGTAAATAGGGCAGATGGTCATTGTTGTATAAATATTCTTGTCAGCTGATTGAGATGTTTTCATTGTACAGATCAGTTGGGGGGACTGGAGCCCAATTCCCACCCCAAACAGCTCAATTTTGAAAAACAACAGACAGAAGGTATAGCCTCAGAAAGTTTTTTTTTATTTCAGATAAAGAAAAACAGTCTACATATGGATGAAGCACTAAATATAATGTGGAAAAATGTAAAAGGCAATTGTCCCATCTAGCAGTTTCCACATTCCCATGGTGAGCCTTTCCTACATTTGCCACAGGTAAATTTGCCGCAGTGGACACAACGTTCAGTACTTCTGTTGTTATTGCAGAGTATGCGCACCTGGCATTGAGTCTTTTTCTGCTGGGAAACTCATCTCACGACGTAGCTGTTTTTGCTCTTCCTCTTGTGTCTTTTCCTGCAGGAGCCTGTTTTTGAGTTCCTCTGAAAGCTCCAGCATGAACAGTCGACGACTTTCTTTGGATCCTGTACACGCTGTGTACAAAACATGTGCATTTGTGGCGACCATGTCAAGCAGGTTATAAAACACAGCCATAGGCCACCTCCGTGTTCCTGCACGTACAGAGTAGTTGCGCAGTTTCTGGTCCATAATATCAACACCACATTTGAGATGGTTGTAATCAACCACAGTGTTTGGTTTATGTTTTTGAATGTCCACAATTTCCACTCTGTGATGCATGGTACTCAGAAGACAGACAGATTTATTTTTTTTTGTCGCATACACCGTCAGCAAGGCACTTCCAGATTTGAAGACCTGCGTGGAGTGCAACTGGCGCCCCGAGGTTTCCTTTGCAGTTGCTGGTAGCTCCCGACGAATTTTGTTGATGGTGCCAAGCAGAGTTGTATTTTGCTGAAGGAGCCTGTTAGCCAAAGACAGAGAGGTGAAGAAAATGTCCATAGCTACAGTCCTTCCCTTGTCCAAAAATGGTTCCATCAATTTCAGAACAACGTTCTCTGACAACCTCTCTCCTTTTGGACGAGTGGGATCCTTTCCCAAGTAAGGGATGGCATTACACATGTATTTTGTGTCCAGATCTGCTGCAATCCAAAACTTGATTCCAAACTTGTCAGGCTTGGATGCAATGTACTGCAAAAAGGGGCACCGAACCTTGGACGGAAACAGCTGCTCATCCACAGTAACATGCTGTCCTGGACTGTAGGACGACACACAGTTCTGAACAAACCGCATCCAGATGTCAGAAATTGCTGCAAATTTGTCATTGTGTATGCGTTCCTTGCGAGTGTCCTTGTTGTCAAAACGAAGGTACCGTCTTATTTAAAAAAAACGGTTACAAGGCATTATGGGTTTGATATCTGCGTTTCCGAATTTATTGGCCCACATGTGTCGCATGGGACCAATGTAACCCATGGAAGCCCTTCGAAAAAGGATTGCGAGGAAAGCCATCAGCTCGTAGACACTCATCTGCCAGCTGGGGTTTGTTCTGCGGGCCTCGTGGACTGTGCAGTCTCTGATGGTCAGCAACATGTTCATATCCAGCAAACACAGGAAGCTGCGAAGGCGGCTTGTGATTTTGCGTTTCGCTGAATCTGTTGGCCCTCCTGATCCAGTGAAGGCAGTCTGTGGGGTTTCAGGAACAGAAAAGTCTTCAACTTTCCAGTGGGACCAAACAGTGCCATCTTTTGCCTTCACTGTGGATCCAGGCATTGTGCCAACATCAGCAGTTTTTTGTTTTTTGCAAGGAGGGGAGTTGCCGCGCACTGTGTCTTCCTCTTCATCTGATGTAGCCTCAGTGTTTGAACTGTCTCGCTCAATCATATAATTGACCACTCGGCCCCTGGTGCGTCTTTGGAGGGGAGGATTTGCTGGTGCAAAAGCAGTCGTATTCTCATATGAATCATCCTCTTCACTTGAAGAATCGGTTGCGCCGTTTTCATTCTGAAATGCTAAGTCTCCAACAGATCCACCATCAGATTCGTAGTCTGGCATGCTCTGAAGCATGGCTAAAGCCTCTTGAGCGTTCATCCTTCTTGGTCGCCTTGGTTGTGTCATGGTGAATTCCGGGTGAATTCTGAGTCTGTGTGCTGTGCCTGCTCTATTTATTCCCACAGAAATTCTGTAAATTACTCAACTCCTTGAAAAACCTAATTTACAACACAAAGGGAGGCAACTTTAACAAAGAAACCCCAGCACACCAGCTGAAGTCACCAAACCACATTCCTACATTTGCATTTGATTTGAAAATGGAGCACCAGAGGAGAGCCGTTAACACCTTTGGGGGGATACTTGATACAAACTGGGTGCAGACTAAAGTCTGCACTTTGGGACTTCTAGTGTTAAGAGAGAAAAACCAACTTTAAACAGAGGTGGTGGACTCAGATTCCAGCTTCCAAAAACATACAATTCAATCATAGACATGATCCCTTCCAGATATCACCACACCCCCCACCCCATCACAGAGGAATGAGGGACCTACCCGCCCCAGCCGGTGAACAATACCTCCTTAACGACCAACCCTTAACAATCATAGACAGTTTCAGATATTACAGGCTAACGATGGAACTAACGACCCATTCATCGGTTACCATTGCATGTTTCCAAGCGATACAAGGCGTTGTCTATAGAGGGATTATCAGGCAACGTCACTCTACGTCACTTCCGGCACCAATGCGCATGTCGCCTGCAGAAAGAGCCGCTAACATGTCTTGTTGTGCTGTCGGTTGCACGAACCGTTTTGATAAAAACAATAAAAAGCGCAAGTTTTACCGAATCCCATCAACTCGCACCCCTTTCAAGGCAAACAAGAGACGTCTTTGGTTGCAAGCCATCAGAAGAAGCGATTGGAACGAGCAGATGATTAAAAATGCATCAATCTGCAGCGATCACTTTATATCAG